ACTTTCCTTCTTTCTTTACATTTTATTCCTTCACATTTCCACTTTTCACAATAAGTCCAGTAGCTGACAACCAAGAAATCAGCACATGAGCCTTTGGAGACATTTTATAATCAGATTATTACATTCTGTCCCTGTTCCCCAAAAGCTCACGGCTGCCTCATAATGTGAAATGCATTTACTCTATCCACAGAAGTCTCCAAAGTCAATAGTTCTAAGATTGCTCAAAAGTCCAAGTTTAATGGCTCTGAGGCTAAAGGCAAACTCTTTGCTCTGACCGAACTCTGAAGTTAAAAACTGTACTGCTTTCTGCATGCAGTTGTACAAATGAGAGCACAGACAATAGGAATATGTAACATGAGGCCCGGCTGGCTTGTTGGGGTTTCTGTCCCGCCCAGTACCCCACAGCTGGCAAGCCCAAAAAGAATCACACACAGGACTCCATAAGGTTATAAACTGATTGGCCCATTAGGTCAGGCTACTTATTAGTTCTTATAACATATGTTACCCCATTATCCTTATCTACATTAGCCACATGGGCTCAGTACCTTTCTCAGTGTGACAGCTTACATGTTGCCTCTTCGGTGGTCTGTACAGGGATGGCAGAGGAACCTCCCTGCTTCCCAGAATTCTCCTGTTCTCATTGCATCATCTCTACTTCCTGTCTGGCTTTCCTGCCTATACTGCCTGCCTAGCCAATCAGCGTTTTATTAAAATATGATTGACAGAATACAGACAATTCTCCCACACCAGTGATAGGACCAGAACAGATCTGAAACCCAGCATGGCAAGTATCAAGTCCTGTAGCTCCCATATCCATCATCTTCGGCATCTGTATGGTGATGTAAGCTCGAAAGCATTCAAGTAATCTTGACCCTACAACCTTGCTCCTTGCCATCCTCACCGTTTTGTTTTTGTGTTTTTCTTATGTTTTGTTTTGAAATTAGCTGTACTCATTGGCTGGAAGCTTTCTTCTGTAGATGTTCCATGTTCCTAGAATAGCGTGCTCTCAGGGGTCTCTATTTCATCTTCTCCATCATTGCTTCACATCATTTGTCCCCTCGAGAGCTGCCTGTAGTGATTCTGACCCTGCTACACATTTGTCTGACTTTCCAGGTCCTGTTGAAATTTGGTTAGAATCCTCGATGCCTGCAAAGTTAGCCTCATGTGGGAGCATCAGGGTCTGATACCAGCCTGGGTCTTTTGTACTGTGGCTACAGTAGCTTCAGAATGCCCAGAGGACTGAATAAAAACCAAACTTCTTTCTAGGAAGTCCTGTACAGCAAGGGCACTGGAGTTGTCTCCTCAGACCTTTCAATGAGTTGAAACATTCCTACTCTTGAGCCTTAGAATGGGTGGGGTCTGGCCAATTCCTTAGATGAGCTTGTGTATCCTATTTTCCAAATAAAAATACATAGCTTCTTTTAATTAGTTTTTGTGTTTTAATTTTGTTGTTGTCATTATTGTTGTTTAATGCTGTTGATGGTGGTGATATGGGTGTGTATGTATGTGTGTGGGTTTGTGTTGGTTCGTATGTATGGTATATACACACATGTGTTTTCAAATGTGAGTGCCTCTCATTCCCACAGAAGCCAGAGAATGCCACTGGGTGTCCTGCTCGATCATTCTCTTGCCTCATTCCTTAGAAACAGTTTCTTATTGATGAACGTACAGTGAGCCTGGCAGCAGCAAACCCAAGAATCCCTCTAATCTCCATGCATGACAGCTCTGGAGTGACGGGCAGGTGTGCAGCCTTGCCTGCCTTTCTATGTGAGTGTTGGCATTTGATCGTGTGTGGGAGAGTGTGTTTGAACAATCTTCCTTATAGTGAACAGGAAAGAAAAATTGTCTGTGTTAGTGGAAGCTTTCTCAATTCTCCTCTTTTATCCTATCTGGACTCTCAAACTATGGAATACCTGTTACATTTCAAGTTTGTCTCCCCCTTAGTTATTCCTCTGTTAACAGCCTCATAGAAGCCCTAGAGGTGCTTCTCAGTACAGTCAAAGTTAATAGTGAAGGTTCTGTCAAGCAACCGTTCAGTTTTCTATCCTGGAAATAAATAAACCAGTATAGCTTTTGAAAAGTGCTCCAGGCTTCGAATGGCTCCTTTTCCTAATCAAGGGAAAACCCATTTAAGTGCTCAATGGAGTCGTGTACTTTGTGAATTCCATGTTTGATGAAGAAGGCAAGTCACACCTGTATGTGCGTAAATCCCCCAACCCTGATCCTCCAGGTACCTCAGTCTAAATACAATATTTCATAAAACCTCTCTTTTCACACCAATTGAGTCAATCACAATAAAACTAACGGGGGTGGGGGGGGCTATCTATGCTGGTGTTTTCTGTTGGAGACCAGTTTCTCTAGTTGTGAGCCTTGTGAACCAGTCTTAACTGCTAGCTCAGATAGGTTCGGTTCTCTAACTGTACCCTGCCCTTTTCTTTTTATGTCACAATATAAAGAAAATGTTCAGTTTTCCTGTCATGATGTTAGAAATCAGGAATATGAATGTAGCTTTCCATGTTAGTCAAGCTTAATGTTTCTGCTCAGTTCATTAACATTTGAAAGGTATGACTAGCCCACGACTAACAAAACCCAGTATTCTAATCACAACCCACTTCCTGCCTTGATCTGAAACTGCCTTTCAGTCATAGATTTTCCCTCAAAATATTAATGACCTTTTTTGGTTTCACTCATAGGAGTGTGTGTGTGTGTGTGTGTGTGTGTGTGTGTGTGTGAATGTTTGTGTGTGCGTGTGTGTGTGCGTGCGTGCGTGTGTGTGCATGTGCGTGTGTGTGCATGTGAGTGTGTGTGTGAGTGTGTGTGTGCGTGTGTGTGAGCGTGTGCGTGTGCATGTGTGTGTGTGCGTGTGTGTGTGTGTTTGTGTGTGAGTGTGTGTGTGCTACCTTCATTTTTCTTTCTCTAATATGAGCACACCCTATGCTGTTTTGCTCCCAAACTTACTTCAGCTCTTGCTTCCTCCAATGTTTCCCAAAGTTTTTCACTAGAGAATATGTAACTTTTAATATGAATTTTAAATTCAGGGAAAATTAAACAATGAAAAAAATTGTACAGGTTTATAACTCTACTTAAAAACAGTCTGCCTGAATACAGGGTTCACAGCTTTCATCATGTTCTCAGAAGTTGTATTCTGAAGGACCAGTACCACCTAGACAGCCAGTCTGTCTGTCCTGATGGATACATTTGGACCTATGTTTCCCCTTGCTATCTCGCCTCCTGTCCAACAGAGTTCCTTGCTAACTGACTTGAGAGGACCCTGTATAGCTGTGTAGAAGGGCTGGGAGCAGCCTTCAACCTACACAGAAAATCAGACAAAACCAGAAAATAGTCAGAGAGGAATGGCTCATTTCCCAATAACCTGACCTTGTAGGGCATCCACTGGAAATCAGGTACCGCCATTGTAGCCATGTCAGTAACACAAATAGTTCCCCAAGGAAACCCATTGCTGACTGATCTGCCTAAAACTGCTGCCTCACAAACCCCTTGAAAGAATTTGTTCCTAAGTGTGATTCAGCTGTTAGAATTCTGGTAATTTTTACCTTTCAATTAATCCTATACAATTAAAAGTTATGGATCATTTTACATTTGTTAATTAAAATGCAGTTTAACCTCAAAATTTCTACCCTCAAACTTTAAAGAAATTGTGGGCATTTTGGCAAAGTACAATTTTGAGCAAATCCTTCTGAGAAGTTCTTGTTACATGAGTGTTTTCAGCTGTCTTGTGCTGTCTTTCCCTTTGAAAACAAGAAAACTTACTGATCCCTTTTATGAGATATAATACTAAGCCGCTTTAGTTAAGCATTTTGGCAAAAAAATATTTACTCCTTACATTTGCATTGTATATTCTAAAATGTAATCATTTTTAACATACACAGGATCACCTTTTTTTCTTTATTTTCGAGTTTAATATTAACTCTGTTAGCATCTCAGCTGATGGAGAAAATGGAAAAAAAAGCCACTTTGCCTAGTTTTATGATCTCAAAACCAGCTAACTATAGAATAAATTGTTGCACATTTTTATGAATTGATAAGTGCTTACACTGAATTGTTGATGCATTCATAGTGTTAAAAATAATGAAATTCATCTTCTCAAATTGCATAATGATATTTTTAATTAGCCAATATTAGCATCACTCAGTTCTCAAACGCACGCTGTTTAGGCTCTGGTTCAGTAGGATGTGCAGTAGCTCCCGGCACTGAAGGACAGCTGTCTTACATGCAAGGTCAGGTTTGTTCCTGGACACTGTTGCTTAAGAAGACTTTTATGATTGCCCTTGGTGTGCTGGGATTACATCGAATGTAACTGATTCTGTTCTTGGCCATTTTTTGTTTGCTCTGAGTTATTTTCTCCTCTACTTTTTTTTCTGCTGTTAATTCTAATATTTCTGCTTCATCATCATATCCTAAAATATAATGTAGAGACCATCGTCACATCTGGATGCTCCCCTGACTGACCTTTCCCTTCCCAATTTTAATGCAAGAGTGGAAGAGGGGTGTGTAGATTTACTAGCTTTTAGGTGTAATGAAGGGTTTTGTAACCTACATTAAAATACTAATGCGTATTAAACTCAGATTCTGTTTTGTGATTTTTATTTTGTGACAGAATGGAACAAGTATTAAATATGCATTAGGACTGAGGCTGTATAAAAAGGGACCAATGTCCCACATCTTGAACTATGCAAGTAAAAATAATTTTTTATAACTAGAACAATCTACCAGGGTTCTTGATCCTTGGATCTCCAAACTGAATATAAATTACAAAGTGTTCAGAAAGGTTTATTATTATAATTGAGCTTATTATTAATGTGCATATTATATTTCATTCTCTAGGGATGGGAAAGCTGGGGAAAACACATTTAGTAATAGCTATTCATTAGCCATCATTGAAGAATGAATTAGACTTTAAGAATCGATCAAAAATTCTCTGGTCAGCCTTTTATTACTGTCTTGTCTTGAGCCCTTTTCTTAATGACATCTATTATCAGATTGAAATGGCGATTGAGACGCTGCAAAAGTCTGACGGTCTGTCCACTCACAGAAGCTCTCTTCTCAACAGCCATGTAAGTTGCCTCTTCGTGTACACTAATCTCTTGCTTGTTCCGCATGTGTTGCTTGCCTCTAAGTGCTTGTTTTATTTATTTACTTATTTATTTTGCTTCTTAACCTTCCTTTCTCAAGCTTCTTCAGACTCTAACCATTTACTGCCCATTTTAAGCAGTGGGATCTCCCAAAACAGAACCTCAGTTTACTGCTTTACTGGGTGTTTGTATTTTTGTTTATATAAATAAAATTGAAAATTGACAAGAAGCCACCATGTATTTCTAAAATGTAATTAATAATGGTTTTAGAAATTTAAAGATTTTTAGTTACGTATTTATTTCCTCTGAAGTAAAACTCTGTAATACACATCTTTATGTCTGAGACATAGAAGCAACCGTGTCCACCGTATAATTGGTGTGAGTCTTTAAGTGAAGACATAGTCACTAACACCAAAAGCAGTGAGAAACTATTTAAAATGTATTTTCTGGTAAGACTGTAAGGTAGGCAGATCACAGGCATGGATGAACTCGAGCCCTAAACAATGAAGAGAAATGAGAATGGGCCAAAAGTGAAGTTGTGTGTAAGCTGTAAGTTGCTAGTACCTGAGGCAAGCAGAGTGGCCTCATTACCTTGGAGCTGTCACTGTCACCAGGTACAGCATCACCCTAACACTGGTAAGTGGTGTGAAATAAACCTTCGCATTGTCTGTTCAGAGTTGAGCAAATGAAATGATTGTTACAGTTATTTTTAGAAGGTGATTTCTTGAATGTATGGGGGATGTCCGTAGATCGATGACCTAAGTCTGTTTAGGTAGATGTGCTAAATTAGTGACATTTGTGTCACAAATAGAAATTTCCTTTAAAACTGTTTTTTTAATTTAGGGATAATTTATTGTGATTTCTTAATTTTTTGTAATATTTTTATATCTAAAAGAAATAAAATTAAGGTCACTGAAATATTATCATTAAATTTCATTAATTTTCAAAAGGGCTATAGTATTTTTAACAATCATACAGTTTATAGAAAATCACTGATTTTTAAAAATGTATTTATGCTTTGAACTATTTAAGATTTGTATTCTGGAATACAGTTCTTTTTGATGTTTTAATGTTTGGTTTTGGAGGAGGTGTTTTGATTTGTTTTTTCAAGAGAGATTTCTTGGCAAACACAAGCATGTTAGCCAATTTGTAGAAGGCCTATAATTTTGGTGAAAATTATAGATAGAAACATTAAAATAAGGATATATATTTTGTCACCTCTTTTTAAAAACAATTTGAACACAATTTTCCACTCTTCGTTCTTAAATAGATCCTGCTTATTGGAATGAGTCTGTGGTTGTGCTAAAGGCTAGTTTACCATATGCTATTAGGATGCATTTGCCAGTTAGGATATTGAAAATAGCAAGTGAAATGCTTATCACTTCCAACCAGACGTATGCAGGCGTATAAATATTTTTAAAATAAATAGAATTTTGTAGTTGCTCTTTTGAAATTTTCAGATTTCTAGATTGACCCTGAAAGTCAATTGTTGTTTCACTTTTGAGATATGAAATATACTATAACATGTTGTTTGAATTTAACTTCAATCACCCAACTTTATTGATTTTTTTTCCTGAACAATAATGTATGTTTAAAAATTTTTAATATTTCTCTTTGAAACTTTTGAGATATTTTGGGATGTTTAAAAATAATTTTCTTCAATTAGAACTTGTGAATTAAAATTCATTGTCAATAACTATATGAATGAGCCTGCTCAAACAACACAATTACATAGCCTTCCCTGGTTTTGTGTTTTCATTGTGTACTATAGAAAATCTATATGGTTGAACCTACTAGCTGTGTTTCAATATGTAGGAAGAGTGGACACAAATGTTGCTTGTCTCCTGGCTTTTCTCATTTTTATTACATCTTTGAAGTGGTCAGCCTTGTTTAAAATAAAAGCATGGATAGTTCAGTCTTTAGGAATAGAAATAATTCTAGAGATGGCTTGTGGACAGAAGCAAGCAGGGTCAGTTCTATTGATGCCCATTTGGTTACCTTCTTCTTAAACGCAGGAAATATTTGCATTATCTTTCCCTTAGGAAGGTCACGGTGCTCCTGACTTTTATTGGATTTTCACCAACAGCTGAAGTAAATGAGCAAATACAAAATAATGTATAAAAAGTAAAATATAGAAATACAAATAATAAAGAATAAATAAAATTCTACTTAGTACATATCTTCTGTTGCCCACATTTTAAATGCTAACGAACTGTTACCATTACCCGTCATGAGAATATAATAAAGAATTATTTGAGATTTATAGGATTCTTTCTGGTAGCTGAGGAGTTCACCTGAATTCTCTGAATTGTCAGTTTTTGCAAAAATCAGTCTCATTAGGAAGGAATTAGGAAACATTATCTAGTGTGCATCCATATTCAAACTTCTAAGAATGAATCTTAATAGTAACTTTTGAGCATAAAAGTTACTTTATTTGGTGATACAGTATGGAAATTATTTCCTGATTTATTCATATGCATTTAAATATTAACAGTAATTCAGAAAATATTATTACATACAAATTAAGTAAATAATCTCTTTCTAATAGAATCAAGCTTGTCTCCGTTTACCCTTTGTTTCACACATTTTATGATGAAGCAGTATTTTGTTTTCTATCCATTCTCTGAGTATATCTTTTTTAAAGGAGTTGCTTAAGTTTACTGTTGGCCTGAATGTTTGTATGTGTGCTACATGTATTCCTGGTGCCCAGAGAGGCAAGAGGAGGATACTGTATCCCCTGAAACTGAAGACAGTTCTGATCTGTCATGTGGGTACTGGTAACTGAACACCGGTCCTCTAGGAGAGCAGCCAGCACTCTTAACCACAGTATGTTCCCAGCCCCTTCCAGTGTACTTTTAAGCCTATTTTATGCTGCCAAGCCTTATTCATTAATTTCAATATGCTATTATCATCCAAATTAAAATGCAAGTGAAATTTCTATGTTTGGTACACAATACTATGATCCAGCTACGGCTAAGCTGCTTGCAGTGCTTTAGTCTTGATAACCTGGTGGCATTGTGTCATCAATAGTACCATAGACAGTCAATAAATATTTATTGCCTAGTAAAAGATGTAAAAGAAAAGGACTTTTATGGTTTGTCTTCTGACACAGCCCTAGTGCCTAGAACAGGGCTGGTACATAGTAGTGGATGGATACTAAATATTTGCAGAGCAGATGAATATCAGAAACATTAAAGACAGACCCTATCTTTGATGTTTTAGGGTTCCTCTCACAGTAACATGATTGTCTATTTGAAACTCATACATAGACTGTATTGATTCCTCTTTTTGTCCTCAAAGATTCAATCAGTGCATATGTATTAGTACAGGGTTCTCTCTTATGTCATTCTAACTGAATGAAGAATTTGTGGGTCACTTTATAATTTCCTATGTACATCTATAAGATTAAGAGTAGCTTTTTTTCTTCCTGTCTAATCCTTTAAAAAGTTGTACCCCAAAATGATATGATTCATCTCTTTGTATTTTATAATGTTCTTTGATTTTAGTTTTATATTATTTTATATAATACTTTTATGTGTGTATTTTATTATATATATATATATATATATGTCAAGATGCTCTTAATAATCTCATAGACCTGCCTGAGTCCAACTATTATCTAGTTCTTTTAGTTACTGACTCCCGCTTGCTTTATACTCTCAACTGTAAATAATATACATTTTTATTTAGTATTTGTATTATATTCAATTTAGGATATTTTGGATTATAAATTTCCAAATAGAATTATTGTTAATTGTTGCTTTTGTGTAGTGCACTTTTAATTCCACCTAAAGTATATGAAAACCTCTAGGCATTTATTTTTTCAAAATTTTCACAACATAGCAGACAATTGATTCATAATTCTTACAAGATTAAGCTACTGAAACATATTCAGCTTAAAATAAAATCTTGGTTATTAGTCATTCACCCACCACTGGCTTGATGCTATTCTAAATAAAAGTTACTGTAGACTTGTCAAATGCATAGCTTAGGTTCACTGAACTTAAAGTAATTCCTAATTGATAATAACCCATCTGTAAAAGGCCAAATATTACATTTAGATGTTAATAGGGCAGCACATTATTTATTTTTATTTGTCGATTAATGTTTCCCTTTACAAAAAATAGGAACTGTTCATTCTTTATAATATGTTCTGATTAATACAGGTTACATGCAAAGGTTGAAAGATGCAGTTATCTTGCTTTCTACCCTTAGATGAGTATTGTTAGCTCATTATTAGAATAATTTGGTTTTAAAGATAAAACAAAGTTTCTATGATATTTCAAAAGCTGTAAAATTTGTAAATATAGTCACTTTATATAAGATACTTTATTAAAAGAATAAAATAAGAAACAGATAGTTGCTTTCTAAACTACTAAATGTTAAGGCTATTGAATTCTAATGTCCAACTACATTCTGTTAATAGCAAGAAATAGTGTACCTTATAAGAGATACCCATTTCCTTTGGGTAGGTAGCATGTAGGACAAAGCGTAATCTTTTACATTATAGTACAAAAATGTAACTTCTAAGTTCCTCTAATAATAATAAAAAAAATGCTACCTAATCCTATGGTTTAGACATAATATCTGATTTTTGGTTTCATCATGGGTCAGAATCAGAAAATTAAATACTAGTATGTAGTATGTTGATTAAATATACCAGCTGTATCCCCAAGTCTTTTCTGGCATATTCTAGATGGTGTATTGCTTATATATTAAATTTCTTGGGTAATAACCATAGGTGATGTGGTTGTTGACCAGCTTCCCAATGGGACCCCATGTCAGCAGACCAGGCCCCTCTATTTTCAGGGTTTTTGTCTCTGTTGACCTCTTCTCTCCTCGCACATGCTCTCCTTGCTTCTGTGAGGAATAAAGTTTCTCCTTTTGATAAGATGGAGGTAGAAACAAATTTAGCTTTGCTATTGTCAAGTCCTAGTCACTAAGACAGCTCCTCTGGAGCTCACAAACTAACCGCAGCTGTGTGTTGTGAAGTGTACATGTGCGTACCTATTTCTGTGTTCACACTGGTCAAATTCATATTTTCAAAATTAGTTTAAAAATTAAACATTTGCGGGGAATATAAACAGTATAGGTAGAAAACAAGTTTTTAAAACCAGCCAAAGTTTTTACTTGTATGTAAAAGGAATGAGTAGCTATTCTGAAGAAAAGCTCCATTTTCTCTGACGTCTCCAGCTGTGGTGGGGGTGACATCATTGAGGATTCTAAGTGGTTTATGCCACCTTTTCCTATAATTAAAGAGAACGTTTTTGCCATAAAGAAAGATTTATTTTTTACTATATTTAAAAGTTGTTACTATAATTGACCTGATTAACTCTCACACACAATCATTGTTGAACTTGAAACATTTTATGTTGACCTTTGCTTCTTATGCTAGTTTCCACGTTCATTAAACACACCTTTTAAAGTATTTTTATGAAATATTTAGATTTTTTGAAAATCTTTTATGAAATGTTTTATCTCTAAAAGACTATCCTTGATGGTGAGAATTGAGTAAGCTAATGTACCTAGTTATTTTTCACTTCTAATTAGTTAAAAATACTAGCAATATAATGATACTAGTATACAACTATGGTAGAATTAAAATTTTTATTTGTATTGACTTACTGATTTGGATTGATCTGCTCTTATATGCATACTAATATTGTAAAGTTTACATTTTAAAGTTGTTTGCTTCATTTCTGGGGAAAATATCTTTTAAATTTTTCTATGTGAATTTGACACCTGCTCATTAACAAAGAAAGAACATTGAGTCATTTTACACCTTATTCTTACTCATTTTATTATGTCTTTTATAGGGGTACACACACATGTGCACACACACACACACACCTTCACTACTTTTAGCTTAAATATTTTTATGATGTATGTTTGTGAATATGAGAAAAATATTACAGCATGAGCAACTGCTAAAAATATTTCACCTCATACAAAATCCTTCTAATAGCTGGGGATTTTTGTTTTTGTTTTGTTGGGTTTTTTTTTGTATTTCCTTGTTAACCCTTGCTATCAAGGGTCTTTGTTCCTATTTTTAACATGTTAAAAAACCCCATTGAAGACAGTTGTGTCTTGCTCTAACTAGCACCTGTATGAAAGACTGTAGCTCACTTTTATGCCATATGATTCACAATGGCTACTTGAATTCCACTTGAAGTGCTTTCAGATCCTGGTCATTTTTCAGAGGCTCATGGATGAAATAAGAGTCAGGTTTGTATTGCTGTATTTTGTCTTTCTTACTTGTGTTTTATATTTTAAAATTCTTGAAATTGAAAAATAATCTCTAAAGAAGCATGCCAGCCCACTGTAGATTTTGATGTCAGTGACTTAATGCATGTGTGAGTTTATCTCAGTTGTTTTATACTAAACAGACATTTATCAAGGATATATTTTGTGTATTACTTTCAATATATAACACTCATATTTGGGTGTCTCTAGAAAGCATTTTACTGATATGAAGTTTAAAAATAAATGCTATGGAAAAAAGTTCTTTATGACCTGTAATGCTTTGCTGTCACTATAAAAAAGAGAGCTAATTTGTGTAATCTTTTTAGTGTTTTATAGTGTTGAATTATTTGTGGCACAGCATTAATATGTGTTTTGTGTGTTCACATAGATATATGTTCCTTAGGGAACTAGAAGACTTCCTGAACAGGACATAATTTTATGTTTAAAAGTATCTTACATGCCTTGTGGTATATTTTCAAAGCCATTAATTATTGCAAGTGTGGTGATATGTTTAACTGTTTAATGGTTATTTAGGCATGTTTGAAATTGAAATGCTCTGGGAAATTCAGCTGTTATAGTTTAAAAATAATCAAAATATTTTGATATTTTCTATAAAAACCTGAAAGTTCTGCTTTTAAGTTTCAGGAAACGTGTTAAATGAGACACATAAACTTTATAGGTAGGATAGAATAATTCTTTGATTTACTTGAATGTCCAGATTATCATCATTTTAGCCTTTGAGTAAATATCCAGAGGACAGGTGGAATCGCATTCATTTTTTAATTACTTTACTTCCATAATTCACACTTATTTACAAGCCTTTGTTCAGTGTTTGTTCTTTACCATTCCATTTATTCATGCCATGGGAGTGGTTAAGAAAAATAATATAAAACATTTGCTGCTTGATTGCCTGTTGGTCTAGAGTATAGGAAGCAGGAATTAGAAACCACAGCCGAGCACTGAGACACTGCAGAACCCTGGGAAACAGCTTACATATGTTTCACTTCTTTTGTAAGTAAGTAAATGAGTAAGTTGAAATTTAATAACAAAAATATATACATGTATGGCAGGTATTTTTCTCATACATTCTAAATTTAAATATTTTTTTCAATAAACAAAGTACAATGTAAAACTGAAATGTAGACTGTAGGTGGAAAAAGCATTGTTTACTGCTTAGCGTGGTAGTGTGCCTTCCAAAATTTTGAGGAAAAAAGACACCTCAACTATGAGGTAGAAAATTGAGATGATTGTAAAAATTATTGTCTTTTATATAGAGAAGTTATGTGAAATCTCTAGTAAGTGTACTTCTTTGGAGGAAAGAATGACTAAATTCTGCCTGAGTACAACATTTGTCCCAGTAGATATTATTATTGTTATTGTACTGTGTAGCGATAATTTGAGATAAGTAAATTCATTTTCTGTGAAAATGAATACAATCTAATATAAAACTTCATATGAATAAGTCTACTGTTTACTTACTGTAACAGACCAACATGCTAGTTGTTAGGTACCATGTTGCCAGGTTTAGAATGTATTAGGTACTGTGTTTAATTTTATAACAATTATAAGTGATATGTTTATGTTATTAATCTTGACCAGTGAATGCTATTATTTGAATTTTTAAAGAACTTTGTTACTCCAGGATTATAGTCAATATAGGGAAAATTATTATCTTTACTTATGCTTAAAAATTTGAATATAACATATTGTCTAAACTGATAACTGCTGTGACATTTCCCAGAGCATAGAAAGTCAGATTTACCAATTTCAAGATAATTCCTGTTTATCCTGACAGTTAATGGAAGTACTTCCAAGTATTTGTACATACTGTGTCTTGCCGAAGCTTTGGCAAATTATGTGAATTCTCTGCTTATTCTCTCTTATCTTAACAGCTCCAGTGGCTGTTGGACAATTATGAGACAGCAGAAGGAGTGAGCCTTCCGAGAAGCACTCTGTACAATCACTATCTTCGACACTGTCAGGAACACAAACTGGACCCAGTCAACGCTGCCTCGTTTGGAAAACTAATAAGGTCCATTTTTATGGGGCTACGAACTAGGAGATTAGGAACTAGGTTAGTACTGAAAATCAACACAATTAGTTCATCCTCCTTTATCAAATTACAGCAGTGTTATACAGTGAGCAGAAATGTACTTGATTATAGTAAACATAAAGGAGATAAATATAGCATGAAGTCACTTTATAAAATTCATAGGAAAAGGAATATTACTATTCAGTGAGTATCATCAAACTGGTTTTCAAACTACATAGAAATTAGAAGGCCAACCTGTTATTGCAAGATTTGAATAAGATATTTTTAAAAATTGTTATATACCACTGTCACTGCTTTTTGAAAATAAACCTATTAAATGTGAATAAAGTGACATAGTAAATGGGAAACTAAACATTTCCTTACTGCTTTAAAATACATTTAATTATTTCTATGAAAACTTTGACTAGAAGAAGTAGCTAAGGTGGAAGTTTCCACTTTATCCTGTAATTCTGGGACAAATTAAAGGTATTTGGTAAACTTACAAAATGTGAATATTTGAAGTCCTTGCTGATGGTCCTGTTTTACCTCTTAATAGCCTTCTAAGGTTTCTATACATTTCTCTTGCTCTTGATTGTGAAAATAGTCATATGTGGGAGTGAAACTGTGTCATATTTCCATTTTAGAGACCAGCGATGTGAAGGAGGAACTTTCAGTCTCATGGGTTTCTTTCCTTCAGAAACAATGAGTCTTTCTTCTAAGTGTTATGATGAAAAGAAAATTTAGAGCCTTGGAGCTTCATTTTTATTCTAAATGATTTTTACAAATTGAAGACTAATACTTTAAGCAGTTAGGGAGAGATCTATTCACCCGATGGCTTTCTGACTCATACAGGGATCATGCACACAACATTAAACTAGCAATGCTGTGCTGTAAAGGTGATAGACCTTTAGTTATAGGTCACGGCCTTCAAGACATACAATACAAAGGGTTTTCTTTTTACTCTCTGCGAGAGAAGCAATGCTCTAGTAATTACCATCATTGCACATTATGCGGAAGGGAGAAGTGAATGTTTTCAGAGAGAAAAGATTAGTCTGCCTGTATCCATCTCCAGACATATGGCTCAGATCCCCATAGCAGAACACAGTTTAACATGTGAAACACACACTTATGCACTCCAGCCTCCTTTCTATTACTGTGATAAACAACTCAGGGAGGAAAAAGCTTAGCTGGTTTACACTTCCAAGTCTCAATCCACCATTGACAGAATTCAGGACCAGGAACTAAATACGGAAACCTGGAGGTTAGAGCCATAGAAGAATGCTTCTTGCTGGCTAACTCACAGGCTTTTGCTTAGCCCAAAGCCACCTACCTTTGCATAGTATCACTTCACACTGAACTGGACCATCCAGGACCAATTAATAATCCAGACATCCTCCCAAATACATACCTACAGGCCAATCTGATGTAGGCAATTTCTCAGTGAGGGCTTTCTTTTCAGGTGACCCAGCTAGAAAATAAAAGTTAAGCAGGAACAATTTCTGTAGGATAATTTTTATAGAAAATTATAAAAAAGATGCCTTAATATATAAAGAATCAAAGAAATGATAAATTGTGATTTTATGCAAACTCTGAAAAAGTGCATGATTGGACAAAGTGGTGTCATCTGAAATTATAAATAGGATGAACGGTGGCCCAGGAAGGCCCTTCATTCAGATTCCATGCTGTGTCCTCAGGCAGAAAGATAGTCCCTTCCTCCTGATGCAGGAAGGTCCCTCTGGCATGGGGATCTTAAGAAACATCAAGATAGAACAAAGAGGAGCAGCTATGTTTAATCACACATTTCATTGGAGAAGAAATGAGAGAATTTTTTTACTCCATGGCCTGTTTCTGCTGTTTTCTCTAATTTTGAGTACCATATTTTAGGATAGTGTGTCCAGAAACTCATTACTGTGTTAGCTTTAGGAGAGTTTGTATGTGTTTGAACTGTGAATTTTTCCTTTTGCTTGCTTTGAAGCAAATGTGCAACTTTCAAATTGCCAGAGGTTCCGTTCTTTCATAAATATATTCTTTTGGTACTTCAAAAGGTAGTATATTTTAAATTGCAGAATGTGATTGTCTATTCAGACTGAAGAAACTAGCTTTCATTCCTTTGAAAAAAGGAACTTTTGTTTCTCTTGTATTTCCTCCCTCCAAAACCAGGAAAATCATTATTTGGAGACCTAACCTAGTATTTCCTAGCTGATGGCTCGGTAGTTATACATATGGTGCCAATATTTTGAAACTCTAGGCTGTAGTCAACATTCTAATAGCTGTATTGTTGTGCTGCTTTTGTTACTGGAAAGGATTTCAATGGGTCCTATTTTGAGACTCTATTCAAACCTTGAAACACATCTTTATAATAGAAAGGGACAAAATTGGGGTTGTTTGGGTTTGTGAATGAGTAGAATCCATATTCTACTCATATACAAGTACATTCTGCAGTATTGCAGTTTTTACTTTCGATTCCCTACCCCCAAGGATTTTGCCTTCTAATCCTTTTAACATTGCAAGTGGGGTTTACAGTTGAGTTGGAAAGGAAAGCCTAAGAGAATAAGGAGGGAATAAATGCTATGGGTTGAGTTTAAACAAATGGAGTGTTAGGAAGCTAGGGGAGGAAGCCGATGGTGTTGGGGTAAAATTTCAAAGATTTTTTTGCTGTGGAAACTGATATCAGCTTTTCACTCTTGCTCCAAGGAATGGAAGGAAAATCAGTATAGATCAAGAGGCAGATTAAATCTCATGGGTTTTTTTTTGGGGGGGCGGGGGAGTGGGGTTTTGTTGTTTGTTTAAGTAAACTGTCTGTAGAAGCATTATCTGTCACGAAGATTATCTAGTGAAATTATCCAAACCAGACCAAACCTCCTTTTGGTACTCATGTAAACAATAAGCAAATAGAACCATTGCATTTCTAACAAAAGCAGTGCAAAGGGTGCATTTCGGTAGATCCTATCTCCAGATTACATCTGACTGAGGATGGCCCTGGGTATACTTCTCTTCCCAGGACATTCCTGGGGGGATAAAAGACCTTCCTCTTACTCCAACCCCAAAGCTGATTTGTAGGAAGCTGAGTCTCAAAGTAAAGCATCAGCTTACTTTGTGAACTTCCCCATGATTCATGCCTCCTGCTTCCTGCCCTTCCCTTTACTTTCTACAACGTCTACTTCATATAGCACACTACCAAGTGTGTTCCTGGTAGGTTTTGTTGTAGGTTTTTGCTCTAATCTTGGTAGGTTTTGTAGACAAGATCTAATTTCTCAAGTAGAAGGTGTTTCTCTACATCATTAAGTTTTCCCTTCTATTTCTTTCATTTTCCTAAAGTATAGGGATTTGATGGCTTTAATGTCTCTTCAAATATATGGCTCATCTAATGTATGTTTGTTAGTCTTGGAAGTAAAATTATCTATTTTCATTAAAAATATTTAATCCACACACCACTTACATTTCTCTTTGTAAATGAAAGAAAAAATTGGAAGAGCACTCACTGACATATTGCTATATATAGACTTGTGAAAACTAGTCTCTCTGCAAGAATTTACATATTTAAAATGTTATTTTTGCAAGAATTTGCAAGTTCCATTCAGGATAAAAATTGTCATTTCTAATATCAAGCATGGTATTTTTCATGAACACTAGGAAGTTCCAAAACTTTTATGCCCCGGGGACTTCACCATTTTTACAGGGAAATACTCTAATCTTTTATAGTATATCTTATTAGTAAACAACAGATATGAATCATTAAAAACAGATATGAATCAATTAAATCAATAATAAAATGTAATTTAAAAGACATGTTAAGTACCTTCTCCCTTTTTAGGTTTCAAAACATTAGATAAACCACCATAGCAACTAACAATGAAATTATACCATCATTTCTAAAATAAACACACAAAGAATTAATCCAAGACTACAGAACAAAGACTTTCAGTCCAAGTATTTATAGTAAGTTGCTGTCAGTATACAGTGCTTTGTGGGTGAATTGTGATTGGCCCAAACTCTTTCCCAGCCACTATCCCTTCTAATTAAGTTTGAAATATATGTTAGAAAATAAATTAATGTGAGTGGGACAAGTAGGCTATGTGGTGAATATTGAAGTGAAAGTTTAAAGGAAAGGTTTGCCTTGAGGTGATTGCTTTGGAATCATATATTTATTTTGGAATGTCACTATAGAAACATAACAGGCATCCAGAAAAGATAAATTATAAATGTGAAATGTTAGTATAATGTTTCAACCAAATTCTTCTGTGTGAAGTTAATGGTTAATATTGGTCTTATTGACTTTTCATGTTTCTATATTTAATGTTCTTTTATGAAGAGGAAACTCCAAGTACCATTACTATGGGATTCGTGTGAAGCCAGATTCTCCTCTTAATCGTCTACAAGAAGATATGCAGTATATGGCTATGAGACAACAACCCATGCAACAGAAGCAAAGGTACATCCTCAGTTACTGTTATGTCAGAGCTCCACACATCTTAACTCCATAGTCTTCTTATTTCTGAACAAATAGAACAAACACGTGCAATGGACTGCTGCTACCATTGACATGCTTCCACTGTGGATAGTGTGTAAATGTCGTTGAGAATTTCAGTGATCCTTTTTCAATATTTTAAAAATAGCCTATCTTTGAATGTGTTGGGCCTCTTTAAAGTTAAATGTGATGTCCCAAACTACTTTTCATACAGTAAATGACACATGAAGGGTAAGGAGTACACACAGGCAAGTTGTATCTTTGGAGAAACTTCATTTTAGTGTTCATGAGACATACTATTCTTACATCTTTCAAATCACTTTTCAAACTTTATTTATTGTGCATTGCAAGTATGAATGTGTATGTGAGAAAAAAATAGTGTGTGTGTGTGTGTGTGTGTGTGTGTGTGTGTGTGTGTGTGCCTGTGTCTGATGTATTTGTGAGGGTTGGTGGGTGGAGGTCAGAGAACCATTTTCAGGATTTGGTTCTCTTCTTCCACCATGGGTTCCATCCAGTGAGGTCATCAGCCATGCACAAAATGCAGCTTTACTTTGTGAACCATCCTACACATTCCAACTAATTCTTTTTGACCAAGTCTGAGTTCTTGTAGGATCTTTGGGACTTCTTACATTTTTAATCTAATCTTCATAAACATAGAATTGTAGACATTAGAACTTTAACAGATCATGCATTCATGAATGGATCAATGGATGCATGGGTAGATGCATGGGTGAATGAGTGAATGGGTGGATGCAGACAGAATTATATTCCTTGGAATTTAAAAAAAAAAGCAACTTTGTCTGGTCTGTGCTCATAATCCTTGACAATGAAAACATGAGCAGCCATTTTTCAAGTGTCTCACAAAGGCCAAATGGAATATATATACCACTACACTGTTGTTAAGCCTTCCAGTCACTTATGACTGTCACAATTAGAGAAAATAAATATTTTAAGAACTCTGTCCTTATCAGTGTAGCTTACCTATGCTCTGTAATTACAACTGTTTTTTTTTCAACTGAAGTGGTAGAAGTAACTAAGAAAAAGGCATGATTTCACTAGGTTCTTCTTCAATCGAGTAGTTATTTGTGTAGGCAAGATTTCATCCAAGCTAGTGTAGTACACAGAGTGACTTCTAAGTCATAGACAGACAATGTTACATAATAGATTTTCTTCTGGTCAGCAAATATTCATTGAAGTTCTACTGTGTATTGGGCTTTAAATTCAAGAATAAGACAGTCTCTGCCTTTAAAAAGACAAAGTGTGTGAGGAATGAAAGGGTAAAGTAATGCAATACGTTGTGCAAAAATTCAGTTTTAATCAAAGAACTATAGAATACAGAGTAATTGAGCAAACTCTGGGAGAGGGAGGACTAGAAAACTTCATAGAAAAGGTGTTTTTTGAGTAGGGACTAAGAGTGAGAAAAACAAGGACTACCTAGGCAGAAGGGAAGTGTTCACATACTCACACAAGGTGAAGGATGGTGTTGTCTGTAGTGGCCCATGATCTGCTTAAGTAGTTACTGCAGAAGGAAGGTAGAAAATATTCTAAGTTGTCTAATGAGATACAATTTATATAGTAGTTTGAGCCACATATTAAAAGATTTGGTTTTGCATGAAAGCAATAAGTTTGCTTTTGCGTATGTAGAAAATAGCTTTAAAACTATTTAAAGCTTTGAAACAAAACAGTGAAATTCTCTTTTTTTCTAGAGAGATAACTTTTTATTTGGGGCAAGACATATTTAATGGGAAGGTATGGACATGAACTCTTGCTGTGTAGCTTCAATGCGGTCATAATTTCCAGTGTGTCCCAGCCTGGAGATACAATTCAAGGCTGGCCATCATATGAAGATTTTTAACCCACAGATTCTCAGTTTTGTTTTTAATTGCTAGTTATTTTTTGTCTGTAGGTAGGAAAATGAATTTAAAAGGACTGAAAAATGACAAAATAAACCATAGGTTAGTACCATACATGGTAGCAATAGTTTATGTTATAATAAACTATTATGATCTCAAGTTTTTATTATCTTTCCACTTATTAAGAATATAATTTATGGAATTTACTTTCTGATGTGATTTCCACCCCAAAGCTTAGCAGCAATGCAGAATGAGATAGTGATGAAATCAAGAAATTAAACATTAGTACTAACAAAAGCTTGATAAATTGTACCTAAGTGAAGCCATTTTCATTCTGTGATTTACCTATGAGGAAATGTAGTAAGCTTGCATAAAAACAATCTTTATAGAAAGCTTGAATTGGTAAGCAAATACTGTTTCTGTTCTTTTTTTTCCTTTCTTTTCTTTTTTTTTATTGTCTTCTATTTAGCAGACCCTAGAGCTATAAAGGCTAAGGAGCCATGCAACCCTTTGATACATATCTCCAGATGGTGATAATTGCTAAAAGAAAGAGATAAGATGTAAACATGTTTATGGAGATATAGAATTCTTATTGCATGAATAAAATCTGCCAATACAAGTGTCTTATGGGGTCTGCTTTCTTGTGAAAGAAGAGCATTATAATACCAAAGAAGCACTGGATTTTCTCTTCTTCTGGTAGCACTTTTTTTTGAAGCTGGGTCCACCATGTAGTCTCAGCTGGCCTGGGATTTACCATGCAGCCCACTGGCTTCAGACTCAGAGAGATCCTCTTGCTTCTGCCGCCTAAGTACTGAGATTAAAGGTGTGCACCACCACAGCTGGCTAGGCTCTTGCTCTCCAAATGGCATTCCAATAAATGAAGGCAGTGTTTTTGTTTAGTTGTACAAGGGCTTTGGGATTCTCAAGAGGCTTCAGCTTGCAGAAGGAGCACATCCACTGCACACTATTTCTTTCCTTTTGTCTGGATATAAGGGTCACATTAAGAATATTTGTTGAAAATGATGAAAAATAATTATTTTCATCATTTATCTGATAAGTTTTTAATGTCTGGATGATTCCAAGATTTGAACATTTTAATGAAATGAAAATTTATTTAAGAAAACATACTCTCTTGTTAAACTTCAAATGGTATGTGAAAGGTTTAAATTATTTTATAACAGGTAGTAGTTTTAATATTTCAGCATATTTGGATTGAATATTCCATGATTCATTGTCTGCATCTGTAGTTCCATATCTTCAACGGTTTAAACTACATGCTTCACGTATTTTTTTTTGTAATTAGAAGTCAAGTATATGTGTTGATTATTGATTTAAAATTTGGGTGTTTAATTTTATGTATCTAGTTTGAAAACTAGATTGGGCAATAGAGACAGTTTTTACTTCTGTGTAAATCAGATGCCCTTCCTAGCTACCATGGAGCCATGAATCAAATAATAAATGAAGAGTTCTGGTTGAGAAGCAGATATGACAGATATATTTTCCCATATTTGAAAGATGAATCCATCTTCAAATCAATTATCTAAAGTAAAGGATCAGACTAGAGCCTGCTTGATTCAAATAACTGTGGGGTATAACTACTGACACAAAAATTACAATAGTCAGGGTCTTGCCTTCCCGAGGCTTATTCTGTACCTGTCTGTGGACAGTGAAAGGACGAATGAATTAATGACTCCCATCAGCCCTTTGTGCTGTCACTCGAATGATCAGAGTTAGCATAACAAGATATGATAGCTGCCTTGTGAAAATACTGTCAACTGTGGGTAATCAAAAGGAGAAAAGGGAGTAATGTATAAAATATCTTCTATTGAAAATAAACTTTACAGTTAAATGAGGTAATCACCAGATTTTAAGGATATTTACTCATGTACTAATTGCTTGCCTAATTTAGACAACATATAGGTTATCAAGCACCAAAATAAAGAGAGCAATAATTTCCAGGTCTATAAATTATACAAAAGTGTTTGTTGCATTTATATTTAGCACTTAAGGAAATACATAAGAAGTCTTGACATGTGTATTTTTACTATTCTTCTAGAATCTTGTTTCAGAACTGGTAGAAAGGAGCCATGTGCTCTTGACAGTGTGCCTGACCATATCTGGTGCCAATAGCTACTCTCAAAATATTAAAATACATTTATACTTTCTCAACAATTTCATTTAATTGTAGTTGCTTACAAAATAAACATATCACATGTAAAAAAGAACATAGGATGACAGAAAGGAAGGAAGAGGATATCACTTGATTTCTGAGGAAATGATGTCTGTTTGGGATAGGTAAGTCATCATATAGCAGCCTGGACAAGAACTGACCCTCTCATCTCCATTCTTGTATGGAATCTATCCTTGATGACACAAGTAACTCAAATAAACAAACAAAAACAAAAATATATATGCATTTACAAGAAAAAGCAGCCAAGTTTATGCTCCTCTCTGCCTCTCTTCTTCTTCACATCTCTTTGAATTTCCCTCTCCCTTTCACGTGGGAGACCAAGGCAAAAGAATTGCTCTAAGCTCAAACAAACCTCAGCCACATAGTGAGACATCTGCCAAAAATGCACGTGAAACCCAGGGCAAAATCACAATGTTGTGAGTGTGTTTTAAGTAAGGGGGGGATGCGTCACCTACCCATTTGAACGGTCCCTTACTAGGAAGAGGAATAAGCCTTTATGGCACTGGGAGAAGATGAGAGAGATCTGGTAGGAACGGGTGACAAGACTCCTTTACTTCAGATATGAGAGAGGACATCCAAAGACGTTTGCCATTGGACTGTTCTTAATGCCAGGAGCTTAGGAGAGGTGAAACAAAATCTCTCCATTTAAAGTGGTACTTCTATTATTATGACTTTGAGCCTCAGTTTCTTTTAAAATGGAAACGAACTTCAGAGATCATTTTATAGTTCAAGTAGAAAAAAATAAAATCTTTTATAGCTGGAAACATTTAAGCATTAATCTTCTTCATAATAGCATGCTGTTATAAGCACTACAGAAAACTCTTTAACAGTTCTTTGCAAATTTGGAAGAGTAAGGCACCTTCAAATGTTGTGTGTGTGGCTTGTTTATACTTCAAATATGTTAGTTCCCAGCTTTGGTC